AAGGCTGTATACAGCCAGACAGCTCAAGTAGGAAAATACTTGATAAATACTGGAAAATGCAGTACTAGCACTAGCAATAGCAAAGCTCACTGAACAAGGTAAATAATGCCTCATATCCATAACCACAAGCTCTACTCTTCTGCACAATGGTAACGACAGAAACTTCAACGTAACAGAAACTCTTTCAAATGTCAAACATAACTGAATATTAAACATTAATAGATGTTTCCCTTTACTCAAAAACACATAAAGTAGCACTTAATTTCAATATTTACTCTCCATATCCAGCCATATGCAAAGCATAAGGTAGCCCATTTTCCTTAATTTTTTCTGTTTAATCAGTTCCTCAATTCAAGCCGCAAAACTGCTTGTTTCCTTTTAAAAAATTAGGAAAAAAACACAAAAAACACGTTTATTAGTGAAAACACTGAACCACAATTTCTTTAATGAAATATACACACTATTTTTAATATTTTTAATTCTTTAGTCCAAGGTTGAGAAATGTCTCAGACTCAGTAAGCGAGTGAAGGTGTGGGCGTTGAGCATTGGCCGTTCTTCTCTCACCATGCTGCTCTTTTCATCTCACACCCGTGTGGTTAGATCAAAAACATGCGACTGCATTCAGAATTACAGCAGATTGTCAGACACAGTAGAGTCAACCGGCAAGAAGAACACCTGCTCAGTCTGCATTGACCTTTCTCGAAAAAAAAATCTGCAGATCTGTGCAACACAGAGAAACCGCTGCAATATAGAGCAACAGTGACTTTGTGGATAATATATGAAATATATGAACCTGAAACATAAAACCTCTATCACTAGGAGCTCTTGTCTATGTTAGCAATACCACATCAACACAATGTCCTTTTTGGCCTCTGAGTTCATTAAGCAGGGTTATGTCTTGACAAACACATCATGTATGGAATGACAAATATTAACAGGCCTCAGCAGACTGACACATTGTACTTCCAAAGTAAGGAAACTATAAAAATGCAACAGAGAAGTGAATTAAGCAGTCATTCTGAGATGCATGTAATATGGCCCCATGACCCCATTTCCTAAAACTCTAAATTAAGCCTATGTAGCAAGTTATTTTATCTCGGCAACATGTTTTCCAAAAGCATCATGACCAGTATAACTAATTAGCACCTTCAAGAGGCCCAGACCACTGGGAAACTAACGCACAATGTAAACAGGTGTAGGACTAGCTTTTGCACATGTGATTTATAGGCAATGAGGGTCCACCCACTGGAGACTTGTAAGGTTTTTCTTTCTTATTTTGTTTCTCCTTGCAGGCCGTTTTCAGTCAAACTGGGAGGCGTTTCATTGTATGATTGCCTTGTTAAGTTAAAAGAGGTAACATCAGATATTTTTTCTAGACACTTGAAAATATAACCATGGGTACTTGGACGCATCTTTGGACGCTGTTATGTTCTTGCTTTTTTGCTTCACACAGTAAGTTTTTTTTTTTTGCATTTTGCCTGCATTTTCAGCTAAGAACATTCTATCACATGTATATTTGTTAATTTCAAAGAGTTTAACTATTTAATCTAATATTCTAGTCATAATACAAAACTCGGAAACATTTTAAACGTGTTTTTATTATTATTTTGTTTGCAGCTACTCACTCGTTCATCTTGACTCAGTCACCGGGACTCACACACGTCTCAGTCGGCGGTTCTGTAGAATTAAGATGTATATTTGAGCAGACCGTTAGGTACTGCTTTAATGCTGCTGCGTGGGAAAAGTTGAATCTACGGACTGGAAAACTCACGACAGTGAATACTAACCATGAGAATAAAGTTCGACAACATGATGATAAAACTTGCGTTTTGACTCTTAATAACTTAAGCCTGAAAGATTCAGGCATGTACTATTGTATCAGCCATTATAACCAAATGGCTGTGATCGGCAATGGGAGCAGGGTGATCGTATCAGGTAGGCCTAAATCTGGAGTGAAGTCTCATCACACTTTTTTTAGGATCAAAGTTACTAAAACAAGCAACATTTTGACTTGCTGTTCTCTGCTTTAGATCGTTCTGTAACAAAACTATCCATCTTATACACACCACAAGAACCTGACTCACCATCGGTTTCACTGCAGTGTCTCGTGACTGGACTTGTCCCGTCTCAGGTGCGTGTGTTCTGGAAGATTGGACAGAATGAGCGTGCTGGATGGACCGAGTCCGGCTGGACAGACGACACTGATTCAGCCACAGAATTCACACGGGCTCATCTCTCTGTTTCTGCAGAGGAGTGGAATAAAGCCGGTGAAATTCAGTGCTTTGCTGAATATGATGGCGAGAGCATCTCCAAAACTCTGACGCGAAGCGGTGCGTAAATGATGAAAATAGCAGAGAAACATCAGGAAAAATGTTACACATTATTGGCCTCTTTTATTCTCTTTATTTTCAGAATTCTAAAAAAAAAGACCAGCAGTCGCTCTAATTGTCGAAGTAACTATAACGTTTTAATTTAAAAGGCCAATTACAGAATGTTTCCCTTTAGTTTTTTATTTTCATTTTTCAGGCAGTGGTTTTGTGTGTTTATTACAAACACATGTCAAAACTCTGATTAAATAGCTAAAATTGATTTGAATATTTAGAATAATTTTAGTCATTCTGTTGTACAAATTATAACTAAATTTGGTCACACTTTATTTTAAGATTCAATTCTCTCTATTAACAAACCATTAACTATGACTTTTGCCTCAATAAACTCTTAATTTGCTGCTTATTAATAGTTAGTAAGGTAGTTGTTATGTTTAGGTATTGGATAGGATTAGGGATGTAGAATGTGGTCAAGCAGAACATGTGCTTTAGAAGTACTAATAAACAGCCAATATGTTAATAATAGGCATGCTAAAAAGCACCTAGTTAACAGAATTGGTCCCTATACTAAAGTGTTAACCCTACATTTAAATATAATATAAAAAATCACTTCTTGTACATTCAGGCAAGCTATATTAGGTCAATATAAAGAATACCAATAGACTAAATCCTTGTGTGAACTATAGAACCCTGTTCATGCTAAAACTTTAATGTATTAATTATTCATTATACTCTGATCATGGTTAATCTTTCAGAGTTGAATCAAAGAACTCTGTGGATTCTGTACTGTGGCTGTGGGACGGTATTGCTGACTATGGCCGTGGTCTTCTCTGTTTGTTTATGCCAAGGTAAAGATTTAAATCAATCTGGGAACCTGGTTAATTGAACCTGGTTAAGGAATTTTAACAAACTAATAAAAACTAAGTAAGTAACAAAAATATGCAAATACTACATACATGAAACCCAGAATTATTCCCATTATTAACATTCTGGTTTAAATAGCCTGTTGGTGATATGATGTAAAATTGTGTAATTCTCAGGATAAATGAATGGATGAATGAATGAATGAATAGTGAAAGGAAACAAAAAAACTGAAAAAAATAGTTCATTTACAAAGTACTTACACAAAAAATATGAAACTGGTAAAAATGGTAAGATTCAATTTAACTTTCTCCATTCCAAAACTTAGAGATGCATATGACAAAAACATTTACAGGATCAGTATATCAAGCAATAGTATGTCTAAAACATTTGATTCATGCAGGAAAATGTTTTCTAAATTCTACTGTAAACTGATTGATGCTGTTGCTATTCTGTGTGTATGGTAGATATATAGTCATCTAGTGCACTAAATCTGCCTGTAGCTACATCCTAACACATAACAGCACTGAATCTGTTATTAAATAAAGTCATATTGTGTTTTCCCGTTAACAGGCAGACGGAGTAGAGGGACTGCAGAAATTTCATCTGTAATGGTAAGCATGGTATAGTCTAATAATTATATGTAAATATATTTAATGTTTGTTAAATGTTCCTTCTAAATAGTTATTGGTGAATTTGTAAAAAACGTAACATTTTTGAAAATTTGTTTAGATTAACCTATACAAGAGAAGTCAAAAATGATTTGGCAAGGACTGTCAAGTGTAGTTTTGTGAATGCTATATTAATTAATTAATTTATTTTGTCTAGTTTTACCCTGCGGATCCCATCAGTTTAAGTCCAGCAAAAAAATAAAGGTCAAATTAAAATTTGTGAATTATTTTTAATCATATTTGTTATGAGAAACAGTATAGTCAATCCTTAAGACCACTCTGATGTTTTCTTCAGATAATCTTTCCTTCTTTTCTCTTTTTTTTTCAGGGCGCCACTGGAGATCAGTGTTATTGAAAGGAATGTTATACTATACCAAACAATTACTAAAAATTAAAATCAATTATATTAACATTTGCATCCTCCACTATTTATGATGATGATGGTATACCAAATCATGTTATACTTTACTCTCTGATCTGACTTTCTTTTGTGCTCTGTGGGTGAACAAGCATCTTTCATACTTAATATAGAGTTGTTCTTGAGTCAAAATTATATGAATAATCCATATTATTGTATGATTATGTCTTCTCTTGTTCCCAAATAAAGTTGTTGTTTTTTCTGCCTTTACTCATTTGGAATGGAAATGACTTTGTTAGGAAGCAAAAGGGATTGAACATTTATTCTGGTGCAGTTTTGAGGCTATTGATTTGAGCCAGATTTTCAGTGAATAACAACTTATTTCACTCTGTTTAGCAGTTTATACTATAACACTTTAGATCAGGGAACACTATTAACTAGTTGCTTAGCATGCATATTACTAGCATGTTGGCTGCCTGTTAGTATTTATAAAGCACATATTAATGCTTTGCATGACCATATTCTAGATCACTTAACCCTACCTAAACATAACTACAACAACTAGGCCTATAACTTACTTATTATCAATAAGAGGGAAATTAGGAGTTTATTGAGGGAAAACGCTTAATAGTGAATATGTGTTCCCTAATCTAAAGTGTTACCATTTATAGCCTATAGAAAACAAGGTTTTGTTTTTCTCTTGTGTATTCATGTTTTGAGTAGGTATTTCTGATCATTTCCACATAAGTGGAAAGAAACGTGTCGGCAAAAGTTGAGGAAGGATCCTTTGAGCTGATGACCACAGACTTTTAAAACTCCTTCATTCCACCAGCTTCTAGTGATTTATTAGTTTTTATAAAACGGATAGTTCCGGTCCTTGATTCTGATTGGCTGAGCCAAGTTCGAAGCTGTTGTAAATTACTCTACAAACATACTTAGAATTTAGAATTTGGCGGCAGCACCTGAGGCAGTCAAAAACAGTACAGACATATGCCACTGATGCATAAATGATATATAAATGATGACACGCGAGGGAGCGCCCAAATAGTATTAGTAGTGTTGCTTACCACACGAGGGCGCTTCACGAGTTCTGAGCTCTTGGTTTCAGCCACAGCCCAGTTCTAGTAGTAATCCTGCTATATTTTCCAATGTTCCCTGCTTGTGTCATTTTGTATTTGTAAAAACAGTGATATCAACCTTTACACTGTTTAAACACAGTTTGTCTCTGGAGTAGGGATTTTTAATATGCTTTGAAAAAGAGTAATGAAACACAGGCCTGCCTAACTGTACTTCTACATTAATCACAATAGCACAAATCTGGATAAAATGTCATTGGTGATTTTTACAGTGAAATATTTTTGTAAATGTCATAAAATCTGTTTGCTTATAGATTTCATATTAAGCAACAGATGATTGGAATATTTATTTTATTATTGGCCCTGCCAGTGTCAAGAAATATATTTGTTGAAATATGTATGTGATGTATATGAAAGTACATATTATTTTTCACCTTTTTAACATTGCAGAAGCTATTTTAACTTCACCTTAAAAACCTAACTGACTTGTTGCATGTCTTTCTGGAATATGTAAGCAGTCATACATATAGAAACTGTGTGTGCATATTTTGTTTCCAATTGATTAGGCAATAAATGAAAAATAAATAAATAAGCAATAGGATGGCACATTAGATTACTTGTTGAGATGTGCAATCTAGGCCTTTATTCAGACTTAATCTCTCATATTGAGAAACTGCTCACACATTTACTAGTTTTACATTTTTCATATTTTATATAGTTGAAGTTAAAAGTTTACATACACTTGCAGAATCTGCTAAATGTTAATTATTTACCAAAATAAGAGGGATCATACAAAATGCATGTTATTTTTTATTTAGTACTGACCTGAATAAGATGTTTACATATAGTCCACAAGAGAAAATAATAGCTGAATTTATAAAAATGACCCCGTTCAAAAGTTTACATACCCTTGATTCCTAATGTGTTGTTACCTGAATGATCCACAGCTGTGTGTGTGTGTTTTGTTTTAATGATAGTTGTTCATGAGACCCTTGTTTGTCCTGAACTGCCCGCTGTTCTTCAGAAAAATCCTTCAGGTCCCACAAATTCTTTGGTTTTCCAGCATTTTTGTGTATTTGAACCCTTTCCAACAATGACTGTATGATTCTGAGATCCATCTTTTCACACTGAGGACAACTGAGGGACTCATATGCAATTTGAAGTTCAGGGTAAATTTAACTTATTTTGTCTTTCTGGGAAACATGTAAGTATCTTAGCTTCTGAAGGGCAGTACTAAATGTAGCCTATTTAGGCAAAATAAGAAAAATGTACAAATGAAAAATGTTCTGAAAAAGCTTTTAATGCATTTTGTATGATCCCTCTTATTTTGGTAAAATAATTTACATTTTGCAGATTCTGCCAGGTGTATGTAAACTTTTGACTTCAACTTTATACAGAGAGAGAAAGCGAGCGAGCGAGAGATTTTATGCACAAATTTGTAACAAATCAACATTTGTTTGATGTTTTCGGGTCATAGGATCAAATACATACATTTCTGTGGTTTAGAAGCGTCTTGCTAAAATGAATGAGGTTGTTAAAAAAAGTAGAGCAGTGACAAGGGCAAAAAATCTGGTTACACTGACAAGAGGATAGCAAGTGTCCTGGATATCTGAGAAAAAGAATAAAACGAGAAATATTGTGAGAAAAGAATCAAAAACATTTATTCTTAAAAATGGACAAAACATCCAAAATAATATAGATATAAGATCCGTCAAGAAATCCCACTGATCCCATTTTTGGACAGGTAATATTAAAACATTTGATTTGCTATCTTGATGAAGAGATATTATGAAAAGTTATTTACCATAATAATGCAGAGTTTTGTTGAACATCCATCCACCAAACTTCACAACGCAGGTGCACGCTCCTCCTGTCCTCCACTCCTCAGCCAATACTGCTACATAATTATGAGTTTTCACTGAGTTCTCTTCGCCTTCTTCCCAAACAAACAAAGTTTGTCCATTTTCCTTTCTACTCCCTATGAGCCAGTGCACATAGACCCGTGATGAAGCAAATCCTCCGACTGTACACTGAAGAGTGACTGTAGAGTCGTGGTTGTTGCTGCTGGCAAATGCATTGATATCAATAGACGGCATCACAGCGTTGTCAGCTGCAAGAAGAAAGATA